TATACGCTATCCAATTGTGTCTACATAGATTCACTTTTATTTCTGGATTTTTATAATTTACTGCATTCATGTCGTACTGAATCGGTATATCTGAGTTATTAATATTATTGATATATTGCAATATGATACAAATGAACATTTCTTGTAACCAACCATATTGAATACGTTATTTGAAATGTTCAATAATCGACCGTCTGGCGATGTATCTATTTATAAATACTGTATCACATTCAACTCATGAAAAAAAAACACGACATATGTATTGGATAATATATTTTGTAAGACGATATAATTTGTTGAAGACACCTTGGTTACTTTATGTTATACAATCGATGTATATTTTAATGAACACGGGAATTATGTATTTACTGTTACTTTCATAAGTTACATTATCTGTACAGACTTATCTGAGGTTCCTTGCCCCAATGTCTGCCTACGCTGTGTGGCGTGGTTCGGCGTGGAAGGTTTTAAGTTTGAAGTAAATGTTTATATATCTCATATATGTATACTGTAGAAGTGAACAAGATATAACTCGAAAATATTGCTAGATAACAATGTTTACGATAATTTGTAAAAAGTGTGTAAAAAAAAATCTTCAAAACAATCATCCCAGTAAAATTAATTGAAAGTCCAACAATATATATATATAAAAAAATCTTACGCGTTGCTTGAAAACAGGAGAGGTTTAAAGCTGATTTTAACATGGGGCTCTATTGCAAAATCAAATATGGAATTAACACTTTTCTTCCCTATACCCAGAATGCTTCACGTGTCTAAACTTCCAGCTATAACATGAGAATTAGTAAATATTTCAAAAATATTTTGTTATAAGAATTGAAGTTATTAGCATTCAAATAATGTTAACTCCGCTCACATTAAAAAAACACTCATAAATTACATATACTCGTACAAATTGACATTTCATAATCCAATGTGTATTCTTGTTGTTCGCATGAGGCCGTGTTCTTTTTTAAATAAACAGGCTGGAAGTTATCACGTGACTGATCAGCTGATGCGCACTAAAGTCTCGCGTTATCAAAATGGCGACATTGTCGTTGAAGATCATTTTCTGTCGATAATGTAGCATGTTATTTGTTAAAGAAATACAGCTTCGAGACAGCACGGAATGGTAAAAATCAAATTTTTGTCGATCGATCCTAGTTTATTTATTGTGAAGACACTATAAGTAAATGTTGATATCCCGCCACCTCCAAAGTGACTGCGGAGATCGAACGCATTCTTATGATCACTCTGCGTGGCTGTGGTCTGGGGAATCGTCTGCCCGTAGTGTGATGCTAAGCCCCCCCCCCGACACAGCCCATGTACGCAGGGCTACATTCAAACCAGCTGTAGTATTTCATAACCACTTAAAGAAATTCTATAAGTGCAGCTACCTCGTATCAACAGTACAACTCTAAAAGAATTACTAGTATATCACTTAAATGTCGAACTAGCAGATTCTATAACCGGTTTCACGGTCCTAAGAGGTTTCGTATGACACGACTGTGTCATTCTTTGGCAGATAGTAGGCTCAAGAGCTGCCGGATGAGGTTGTCTCACAGACTGTCTGGTTCGAGAGGGTTTGAACTGCTGTAATGTCTCATAACCTTTCAGACTATTCGAAAGACCTGCCACATGTCTACATTGGAGTGGTTCCGAAAAGCTTCGCATAAAAAGTAGATATCTTTTCCCAGTTGCCAAGCGATAAGAACATAACATAACAGAACAATTCATTCAACTCGTCATTCCTTGCTATTTCAGTCTCGTTTCAGAAAGTGTAATTCTCGAAAGTGATCATCGTCTGCTGAACCGCAATGACGAAATAGACGATAATTTCCAACAATTTTGGGCGACCCGAATTAATTTCTTACTTTCACGCCAGAAAATTGGACGCTGTCTCTATTATTGTATATACTATGCCGGTATTTATAATAGAAACTGGTTTTGAATCCTAAAATGAGTCGCACCATACTTAGAATATATTATAGGCGATGAAGATTTAGTATTCCATTTCAGTGTTCTGTTGCATCTTAATGACAGCTCTCATTATATTGGGTTATCAGCTGCATTCGCTACGATGTTATCTCCTGTGATTTCCCTTGATATTATTCAAACTGTATGCATCTATAGCATTTTGGTTTTTAACTAGTATTTATTTTGTTTTTATTTTTAACGCATTTAATAGACATTTACACTTACAAACAGAGCAGAAAGATGGAAATGTATGAACATGAAAGTAGATTAAAATTGAGTTGTCATTAGGTTAATGGGGTGCGACGCGATGATAGTAGATAATAATGGCGATGGAGATTGTTGATAGCAACGATACTGATTTGTAGAAAAATACAACATCACTGTCGCAATCTTATTATTATTGCATTACAGACACATGAACAATGGTTTATTGGTACATGAAAAATAAAACGTACAATTCAATTTATCACTTGTGTGTGTTTTCTACACTCTGACACTCGAGTTCTTCAAACATCTCGTAAGCGGAAATATGCTATCATTTATTGTAGTTGTCTTCTCAGGATCATTAGGAAGAGGTTTTACTCATATAGTATACGTGTTAGGGAATATAATGGATAATTTCTAGGTTACCTTTGTACTGTAACACCTGTTATTTGTAGGTTAGTATAGTTGGTTCGCGACGTTCGTTGTCATTAGCATGTTTACTTAAACTTTGATTAGGTGACAAAAACTGTTTGAATTTTGCGAGACTTCAGCATAGAAAATAGATCAATATTTAGAGGACCTGACTTATAAGTAAAACATAAGAGCCTAGTTACGAACTCGGCTGAACAAGATGGCGTACTTGATGACGTACTAGGATCAAACAATCACGTGACATTGAACCCTCTCGGTGAAGTTACTACAAATATTTTGATTCACAGATCAACTGCAACAGTTTTAGGTTGAACACAAATCCAACTTTGCTATATTTTGAGCAGCAAGGCCTTGCAATTCTCGCTGTTCGTGTTATTCACCCTAAGCATAGCTTACAATACTGCATTACAATGTATGTGTGCACCTGTTTGTACAGCTGTTGAGCTTGTGTAGAGATTGATGTAAAATTACGCCGAGGTTTTTATCCAATATGATGAAATGTGAGGTTCGAATTGCCAGTGCTGATTACAACATGTTAGCGAAAAACATAACACATTCATGTAGGTACTGAAATTTTGGTTTCGAATTTCTAGTTTTGAATGTCTTTCCGAATAGATCATGTTCTAGAGTTCTCTTGTTCTATTGATTATTTGCATGTAACCCTTAGTGGCAGCTCAATTTTGTGAAATACCGAGTGACGACAAGCTATTTTGACAACATCCTGTGTCACACTTGTACGATAGGTGAAAGCGGTACGGCAGTAGAAACACATTTAGCGAATACAGGAAATTGGTTCGGAGAGACGAGCCTTTCAAGAAGCTGGGGATCCGCACATTTGACTAGCATACGATATTTTCTGACCTAAACTAGTGTGGAAATTATGCATCCCATAATCATATTATGATTATACAGGAATGGCAAACAAGTTATAAAATAGTCTAGTTTTACTTCAGAGAAGTATAACATGCATTCTAATAAGAGCAATGATAAGTACGGGCAAACTATATTGTTTTTCTCGGAAGGATACATAATATTTAGTCTTTTAGAACAGTGCCAGTTTCCAAAACTGTTTACGAGAATTACTTTTATCCAATCAAGACGACTCAATGGTTCACAGATGGGAACGTGGATATCTCTCAAACAAATTCATTCCCAATGCGCGTCAACACTCAGTAACCGGACAATTTGGTGTTTAATGACTATCGAAAGCTTCGAATTTATAAAAGTAGTTTACGATTTAATAGAGGACAGTGTACAGAACATTAGTATAGTCATATGTATGACCCTATGTATTATTCAAATTTAGATAAAGTACTGTAATTGGTTGATGCGTGTTCCACGTGCGCATCGGAACTACATTATGGTAGTAAGATTTATATCGAACATTTCAAATTTATAAAAGTAATTTGCGACATTATAAATAATTAAGGGAGATGTAAATTAGGATCTGCACTCAGACCAATGAGTTGCAAATAAGATATACATATAATATACAATAATCTTAATCTACAATGAAATTAGGATCTTCCAATATACAAAGCTGGGTCATTAAACTTTCGCTATCTAGATCATTTCTTCATAAAAATAATCACCACACGAACGATTTTTTTGCAGGGACCACATAACAATATTAACAATCTCTGTATAAAGTTTTATAGCTGAATTTTACGGCAAATTAGTTTTGCATGGCGGATTGCTACGCAAATAACGGCTACATTTCAGTGAAGGTTTCGGTTCGAGTTAAAAAAAATAACGTCATTGTTTTCCCGGATTGTCTTAATTCGGTGTGTAGTGCTGGGTTCCATGGAGTGGTCGGAGATAATTGGAATTAGTTTGCAATTATTGTCAAGGTGTAAGCTAGCGTTAATAATTCGCAGTTATTGATATTTTTTGTAATTGATAATAGAACAATTTAAAAAAAAGCTGGGCGCAAACATTTCTCGATTTTAAGTACATATGTCCATTCCCAGAAACAATTGGAGAACATTTTTATCTTAAAATATAGGAGATATAAATATATATTATATCATGAGATATGTTTATTTGGGAATTAGTTTCTAGGTTACGTCTACCGATTTAATCCTAGGTACAATGTGGCGTGACACAATCTACCAGAGCTACAGTTTTTACTCTCTTCGATCAGAAAAATATCATACCCATATCAAAATATTTAATTTAACACGTCGTTATTATAATAAGCTCGCAATGAGGCGAATTGTGAACAACAATCATTATCGCCTGTGACGTAGGGCCGTCTGCTGAAGAATCATATTTTAGATGGTTGCTGCGCACATGGTCGCTGCTGTGCCGTGCTCATATTTTGGTATTGATGATATTGACGAACTTGATATTTTTTTTCTGTGACTGAGTCGTATTTTTTGCACATGCAGGTACTATTTGCTGTGGTTGTTGTAGTAGTTGCTGGCACGGTGACAATGGAGAACGAGGACGTCAACATAGTCGACGAGGAGGCTTACAAATTCTACGAAATGTTGGGTTTTAACCTTAGTGACGCAGCGCACGTATGTCTGTTGAGCTTTTATTTGGAATCGTATCCCGAGGACGCAAACGGAAGTAAGTCATTTGTTTGTTCGTACACTTTGCAGTTCGAATAGAAAATTTGCGAATTGATCAATATGTTGTTCAGATAAATTGGCGGGAATCCAACATAATATTTGTCAGTATATCAGTGGTTACGTTTTATCATTTTATACTGTGTAGTCCGAATATCGAATATGCCCAAACTGACGTCGAGCGCGCATATTGATGGGGTACAGCTTATTGTCATGTCAGCTTATTGGTGGGGGTTTTCACTATATCAAACTATGTAATCCGAATACTCATAGCAAGTATGCAAATTAAGCAATGTGTCGTCTACTCACACGTTGATTTAGCGGAAACGCAAAGTGGTTATGGGAATTATGTTTCGTGTTTCACAAAGATTGCGAATATCTGAGCACATGTAAACTGCAAGTCGAAGTCGATTCAGTTTATTCCGTTTCATTGGCTTGATGTGCAGTACACCGCCATAATGCATGTCCGAATGCATGTCAGAGTTGCCTCTCTAAATTACGGCAAAAGTACCCTGGAAATCACAAGTACGTGTTTTAACAAAGGTGCAATGTACACTAATTACCGCCGGCGACTCCTTTGATACCTTTCAACACCACAGAAATTACATAGTTAAAGCTCGGACTGCTCGGTAACGTCTCAATTTGTACTCTGCGCAACAGTCAAGGTCGCCATAGTTGTTCTTTTGAGTCCCATACATCGCGCATGCGTGTCGCGACGACCACCGCCCTTGAAAGTCACTAATTTGAGAGAGCCCTATTTAAATTATTTGACACCACGATCTTTTCAATCCTAATTTACGGATCTGAAGTCTGTGGTTTCAAGAAATTTTAACATATTATAAGCATTTACAAAATCTTGCATGTAGAACATTTCTCAGTGTTTTTGTCGAAGCTCCAAATAACAGTGTCATTGTATGAGATTGTGGAAAGTTTCCCATTTTTTACATACTGTTAAACCATAGACAATATAGTAGGAAGGACAAGCAACTTCTCTGATCCTACTATACTGTCTATGGTTAAACGTGGCTTAAATAACTAGGCTAAGCTAAAATTGCGTGCCATTTCAAGCTACCTAAAACATGCCACATTACTCTTTATCGTATTGAATAATTCGTGAACAAAACAAGGCGCACTAGGGTCTCAGATGTTAAAAAGTTATTCATCCTGAGTAATATGAGTGAGACTTGGCATTCACAGGAAATTGCCAATATTGATATATTTGTCAATTTATTTATATTAATATTCAGACAATTGTTGGGTAGCCATTTTGAATAATCAAATGTTATCGTTCACAACGTTTAGAGTCTTTAGTCGCGTACTGTAATATAATATTCTATCTAAGTGGAAAGTATACTCAGGCTGTTAAAAGTGTCAGCCCTCCGGCGAATGCCTAGCAGATTTGTGTTTGTTTGATGGACGGCACTATCGATTTGGATCATTATACGACGGCTAAGAACGAGTCTTACGATTGTGTAAGAGTGTAGGATTCATACTTTTTTTACTCATACTCCCGTAACATCGAACGAACCTAGATACCAAACTGGTTGTATATTCACATATTTATTGCTTATTTGTACTGTTTGACAGAATTCTTAAGGTAGTTCGTAGATATTAGATTATTTTATTAAATTATTCAAACTATAATTATATCGCATTGATCTTCAATTGATACTGTAATTTACAACAAAGATAAGATACAGATAACGCACCAATCATTATGGAAAATCTGCTTTTGCGATATTAAGAAGCAAATATAGCACGTCCAGAATAATGAGCTAATAACAATTGTGAAAAGAGGTAATTTTGATTTTAATAACTTCTGTATTTGAAAAGTATGTATTTGATACGCGACTCAATTATTTGACGTGCATTCACATTGTCATTAATACCTTAAGAATATTGTAATCATTATTATTCGGATGTAGTATACGTGACGTATGGTGACATTGATCGTTAGTGTTTATACATCATGTATATTTCTAACGCTTTATTTTAAAGTCCGACAATTGGTGTCTAATAGTGTATATATTTGCACCAACATCAATGCTTGGACACGTAGTGGCGTTCACGTTAGAGATCTCGGCTCGTTTCGAGACTCGGGCCGAGTCGGTACGTGCCGAAACGTGTGTGTGGACGATCGGATCGAGTCGGCACGTGCCGAAAAAAACTTGATCTCGGTCCCGATAAATGTTTGGAACCGAAATTCGGCATGTGCCGGGATTTACTGCCTGAACGCTCAGCACGAACCGAAATCACGCCCTCGGTGGTGAATTTAATAGAACATATACTAATTCACACTATAGTACGACAGGACGGTGGAGGGAAGTGCAGCTGTATATGGTCGGATGCTGTAGTAATGAATACAAACCGTCGTCAGTGACGCATATTTATATACTGCTGCAACTGTTTTATTTTCTTGCAATGCTACATCGACGTGAACAAATGTGTATAATTTGAATAAAACAATTAATATTATCATCGTCTGCGTATAGTTTTCCATGTGTGGGTCAAATAACAGATCGATGATGTGAGGGCGTGATTTCGGGACGAACCGAGTGGGTCCCGATGTGGGACCCGACTGACGTGAACGCAACTGCTGTAACCCCTCTACAAACATGAAAGATTAAAATTTTCGGCACATTCCGAGATCCCGTCACGGGAACGTAGAATGTAAGTATAAACATTGGCTGTTTATACAAATAACAGCACTTCGCTAACACAAATAATTGTTAAACTATATTTTACCTTGGTCTTGTGAAACCTAAACATACAGTATAGAGGCATTCCACGACAGTTGGCAAAAGTCTATGTGGAAATCTTCAATACCTCAAACATATTGTAATTAACCAAATTGTTAAAATGTATTTAGGGTTAATTAGAGGGGCACATGACACATATGTTAAACATACTATTGAATTTCCAGAATGTTACTCCGACGATATTTAATTTTATAGTAGAAGTATTAATGTCTACATGGTTTGTATGAATATATAATTGTTCTTAGAATAACTATATAATTATGACTACAAATTTTGTTGCAAGACAATAAAATAATCGAACGGTCAGTAAGTAAGTCGGGCTACCAGTCAGTTGCTTAATAAATTAGACAACCAGCAAATCATTCAATCGATTAATCGTCGAAAACTAGAAACCATACTAGCATTTTATCGTCATATGTTTATTTACTATGCACTGTATGGCCGTACACTGTATGGCCGTACACTGTGTGGCGGTACACTGTGTGGCTGTACACTGTGTGACTGTACACTGTATGGCTGTACACTGTATGGCGGTACACTGTATGGCGGTACACTGTATGGCTGTGCACTGTATGGCTGTGCACTGTATGGCTGTACATTGTATGGCTGTATGGCTGTACACTGTATGGCTGTACACTGGCTGTGCACTGTATGGCTGTGCACTGTATGGCTGTACACTGTGTGACTGTACACTGTATGGCTGTACACTGTATGGTCGTACACTGTATGGCTGTACACTGGTTGTACACTGTATGGCTGTGCACTGTATGGCTGTACACTGTGTGGCTGTACACTGTATGGCTGTACACTGGTTGTACACTGTATGGCTGTGCACTGTATGGCTGTACACTGTATGGCTGTATACTGTACACTGTATGACTGCACACTGTATGGCTGTACACTTTATGGCTGTACACTGTATGGCTGTACACTGTATGGTTGTACACTGGCTGTACACTGTATGGCTGTGCACTGTATGGTTGTATACTGTATGGCTGTACACTGTATGGCTGCACAGTGTATGGCTGCACAGTGTTTGGCGGTACACTGTATGGCTGTACACTGTATGGCTGTACACTGTATGGTTGTACACTGTATGGCTGTACACTGGCTGTACATTGTATGGCTGTACACTGTATGGCTGCACAGTGTATGGCGGTACACTGTATGGCTGTACACTGTATGGCTGTACATTGGCTTTACACTGGCTGCACACTGTATGGCTGAACACTGTATGGTTGTACACTGTATGGCTGTACACTATATGGTTGTACACTGTATGGCGGTACACTATATGGCTGTACACTGTATGGCTGTACACTGTATGGCTGTGCACTGTATGGCTGTACACTGTATGGTTGTACACTGTATGGCTGTACACTGGCTGTACACTGTATGGCTGTACACTGTATGGCTGTACACTGTATGGCTGTACAGTGTATGGCTGTACACTGGCTGTACATTGTATGGCTGTATACTGTATGGCTGCACAGTGTATGGCGGTACACTGTATGGCTGTACACTGTATGGCTGTACATTGGCTGTACACTGGCTGCACACTGTATGGCTGTACACTGTATGGTTGTACACTGTATGGCTGTACACTATATGGTTGTACACTGTATGGCAGTACACTATATGGCTGTACACTGTATGGCTGTACACTGTATGGCTGTACACTGTATGGCTGTGCACTGTATGGCTGTACACTGTATGGTTGTACACTGTGTGGCTGTACACTGTATGGCTGTACATTGGCTGTACACTATGGCTGTACATTGTATGGCTGTACACTATATGGGTGTACATTGGCTGTACACTATGGCTGTACACTGTATGGCTGTACACTGTATGGTTGTACACTGTATGGCTGTACACTGTATGGCTGTGCACTGTATGGCTGTACACTGTATGGGTGTACATTGTATGGCTGTACACTGTATGGCTGTACACTGGCTGTACACTGTATGGCTGTACACTGTATGGCTGTACACTGTATGACTGTACACTGTATGACTGTATGGCTGTACACTGTATGGCTGTACACTGTATGGCTGTACACTATGGCTGTACACTGTATGGCTGTACACTGTATGGCTGTGCACTGTATGGCTGTACACTGTATGGGTGTACATTGTATGGCTGTACACTGTATGGCTGTACACTGGCTGTACACTGTATGGCTGTACATTGGCTGTACACTGTATGGCTGTACACTGTATGACTGTATGGCTGTACACTG